AATGATCGAATAAAGTTCCTCTCACAGAAACTACACAATGTACAAAAAAAAACAATAATAAAATAGACAAAGACGTTTCAGTGGGCAGCCTTATCGCTAAAAACGATCTCTTCTGGGCAACGTCTAAACGTTTACCCTCTACATTTTTCAGGCATTCATAAGTTAGTCCCATATCCTTATATGAGACATAACTTAACTTCCTCTCTAGAACAATGTGAGTGAATGTGTAAAAAAATTATAAAATCTAGGACAAATGGACAATCTTATCGCTAGAAGGCGATCTCGCGATCTTTACTCTACCCTGCCCTATGCAGAACGTCGCATGAACTGTGTCAAAGTAATTCATCCATCTAACTCGTGAACGGATACTACTTCTATTGGACTGGTCTATTCGGGTTACAGCCACTGATTAGACAAAATTGTAATAGATTTGGTAGTGGTCACTTTATTCTAATTGAATTAAAAAATGAATATGTATTTTTATAAAAATGTACAAGCTCATTTGAAAACGATAAAGTTGAGTTTCTTGTCAGTTCTTCTTACCTCATAAGCACTCCAAACTAGTAGATTTGACATATCAAAAGAGTCTATAATAGACCTACATGAATAAAGATATTTTAAATTTGTAGGATATATACCTATATTAAAAGACCGTGTAAAAAGCATGCATGGGGACCTCTCACATATTGCAGCCGCGAATCAGCTTGCTTTGTGAGAAGAATACCGTCAGTCCGAAACTGACGTTAGATTTGACAAATTTTAGGAGTTTGTAAGAGACTTACATAAATAAAGAATTTTGATTCAATTTGAGTACGCTTAGCCTTAACAACATTCAAGGACTGTATTAAAGCGATAAATGATGATTTAATATTTTATAATTAGCTATTACATAACCAACTACCTGATCTACCTTATATACCGAATGGAGATGTAAATGTTTCAACATGGTAGCGCTAATTTTGGTGTTAAAATGTACAAAATCCACATTAAAACATTACTATATTTATTTATGTATTATTTATAGAATACTAGCTACTCGCCCCGGCTTCGCCCGGGTGTACATGTATTATACATATAAACCTTCCTCTTGAATCACTCTATCTATTTAAAAAAAAGCTCTTCAATCCGTTGCGTAGGATTAAACATTTAAGCATACACAGGGAAGGGCAGCAGCGACATCGACTTTGTTTTATACTATGTAATGATGTAAAAACAATAATAAATACAAACCGGCATGGTTTGTATTTATTACTTAAATCCTGCGGTGCTACAATTATGGAATATAACCTATGTTATATAACTGAATAAAATAATAGTCATTAACAACCATTAAAAAAAATTGAATATTTTCTATTTTATAATAATTAAAAAATTAAATAGTATTTATCATCAAACTGTTTATGCAGAATAATATAAAGCAAATAGATATAATAACTTAATATATTGAGTGAGATAGGGAAATTGGAGGATTGGATTAAATTGGGCTATTCCTGTGTGTTTAGCCTGTAACACTACGACCTACGTAGACATATAGACGCAATTTCTAATTTATAATATTATAATGGATTTAAAATTATTTACTTTTAACAAAAATATAAGTTGAATAAACTCCATAGAACACGTTCTGTGTTAGCGCCGCCCGCGCTGCGCCGCGTTCTGAGAGTGGCGTCACGTGACCACGTGGCGGCAGTTATTATTGCGTACTCGCGTACTGACCTCGAACTTGAACTGTACGAATGTGAGCACATTTCGTAAGATCCCCGCTGACATAAAACTCATTGCAAAAGCTCTTGCAGTGGAAAAATACTACTTTATTATATTAATACGTGAAGCAAAAACCTTGTCGGCCGAAGGAGTGTGAAATATCGCAGGCTTTAGAATGCAACTTTTTTATACTATGTAAAAATAAGTTTAAGTTTATTAAAAAAAGAAACATTACACACACTGGCATGTAATTGATACACACCCTAATATATACTCTTTTGTTTATTTAAACTACCTACTCGCCCCGGCTTCGCACGGGTGTACATCTATTATATATATAGACCTTCCTCTTGAATCACTCTGTCTATTAAAAAAATAACGCACCAAAATCCGTTGCGTAGTTTTAAAGATTTAAGCATACATAGGGACGGACAGACAACGACAGCGACTTTGTTTTATACTATGTAATGAAGACTGTGGTTTGTTGAGAAATTGAGAATAGATTAATATTGTTTGTCTTTTAATTTAATAATTAATAAGATTAATATAATTAATTGTGGTCGATATTCGACCACTCGGCGACCACTAGTTCTGATTATTTTGTGTATTTCCACGAATACTTATAAATAATAATATATTATAGGACTGTTTGGAGGAACATGAGGCGTCATGTTACAAAAATACGAAATAATTTATATCACAACATAATATACAATATATACAGTTCGTAAGTCTTATCCTTTTAAGCAAATCTGTATTAGGAAGAAACCGCTTTTCCTCAAGATATTTACTTCGGACTTGTGTCCGATAATATTAACAGAAAACATATTTGTTTGAACGAGAAAAGTGTGTTATATCAATAGTAGATACATTACTCCATCCGAACGGGGATTGAAATTACGACGACCTGAGTCAAGATTCGATACCCTTGAAGTCCCTCTGACTAAAGTCGTATCCGTCATGCAGGAAATGGCCCTCAGCTGCTCCATAAGTCCTTCCGCAGGTTTGATATGCCTTCTGCACTCGCTCTGCATTGCATTAGAAAAGTTGAAAAAAAATATTACAAAGTACATCTCCGCATCTAAACAGAGCTTATATTACTGACACTAAATAATTTATAATTATATTGTTAACTTCTGTTCCCGCGATTTCGTCTGCGTGAAATTTATATTATTTTTCTAAAACAAAAGTAACCTGAGTGACTCCTTATTACATCAGCTATCTGCCAAAAAAAGTCCCATCAAAATCGGCTGGACCGATTCAGAGATTAGCCGGAACAAACAGACAGACAGACAAAAATTGTAAAAAATGTTATTTTGGTATATGTACCGTATTTATTTTCATATGCATGTAGTAAAAAATGGTTATTTCAATATTACAAACTACACTCCAAATTTTTTTATATGTATCTATAGATTTTTTGTAAATGAATCTTATTAATATTATTAACGCGAAATTTTGTAAGCATGGCTGGATGGATGTGTTTGTTACTCTTTCAAGCAAAAACTACTGAACGGATTTTGATGAAACTTTGCCTTAATATAGCGTATACACCAGAATAACACATAGGCTGTAATTTAAAGAGATATTAAGGTAATTGTGCTAAACATATGAAGGTAGTTTTATATAGATATATGTTAATATGAGTTTGTTACCAAATTGTGCCGACCAAGTATAAAATTCAAGATCACATTTACGCAAAGTAACGCAACATGACTACTGTACCATGGAGGTCGAATGCTTTTGCTGTTTTGGCATATGTTATGTTGAATTGCAACTGCATTCATTCAAGTTTTTAATTTAGGTTTTGACATGGAATATCGCTCTCGTAATTCGCTAATTATTACTCAATTAATTCTAGAATGTGTACGAGTTTACATAATAATGATTTCTTTAAATAATAATAGCCCCAGTAAAAATCACACAGTGCAATCTAGTCCCAAGCTTATCAAAACTTGTGTTATGTACAAGTACATAACACAGGCTACAAGGATAAGCTAAGGTACAAGACAATTAAATTCATACATACATTTCTTTTGTAAATTCTTATATCTTTCAAATCATAATATACATAGACCAATACAAACTCATGAATACAAATGTTTGTACCATGCGAGGAATCGAATTCACGACCACCGGAAGCAACGGCTGTTAATAATATTTACTTATATGTAACTAGGTATCTGTTTCACTGGAATGAATTCTTAATTTATTAATTTTAATTTTTTATTATTAACTTTATTTAATTTAAAACATGTAGAAGGTGAGAAAAATCATTTTTTTATCAGCTTGACATTTGTTAAAGATTTAAAAATATATTATACAAATTGAACATTTTCTTATGTTTGCTCTTTATTAATGCCAAAAAAGTAAGGTCGTAAAAATTTTTATGCTAAATTGCATATTGGCATTTACTTGTAGGTTGTTTTTCAGTAGGTATTTTTTAAAGGTTATTTTGTTTGCTGAGAAAAATAACTGGAGACTGCTCGATTACTCTTTAATTAATTTGTTTATACATACCTTAATGTCAATCCGTAAATTTAAATTATATGGACATAATAGTGGTAGCAAATATATAAAGAAACTAGTAAACCTTTATAGATACAACTTAGAGTTGTCAATAGCCCTCTTTTCTACCGTCTTCTTTTTTTCTTATCATATCCTACTTTTTTTATAATGTCCTGGGACGTCCTGAATAGCTAAGCAGAATATTAGGATTTTGATTCTAATGTTAATTTTAATTTAAAAGTTTAGTAAATATATAATTTGGTGTCACCTATTTTTATTACTGTTTTCTGTTTTTAATAATAATAATAATATATTTATTTGTCAGAATATGTTATGTACAATGGTGGTAATTATATATAATATATGTTTCATCATATTCTGCTGTTTCCAGCGTACACATATTAATTCTGTAATCCTCATTATAAATCAATCAAGCCATTAAGCTAAATTGCCTTGGTTTTTCCAACTATAAAGTTACCAGTGGAGGATGATAATATGAGTACGAGATCAGGTCAGTTAGCCCATCGTCACGAATTCACCTGGAATGGAACCACGTGGAAGTTAACCTGACCATGTACCATGCAGTCCCCTCCTCTCGTTATCCGTTGTCATTTCAAACGATCAAGATATCATGTCAAAAGGATAAATATATAAAAAAACATACCAGATGCACTGACAACTTTTTACAAAAATTACCTTGGTATTTATTGAATTCAGGTTGTGTGTAGTGAATTTTCGTTTGCCATTTCCGCTTGAATAAAACAAAGTGTTTATTTTTTGTTCCTCAGGACGGACGAGCAAGGCATCGGCATGAAGGTGTACCGAGCCGTATCCATAGCCATAGAGATCTTGGTGCTCTATGTGAAAATGACAGTCACTTGGTTATACTGCCTCTACCAGTTTTTCGTACCACCTGAACCTAAGAGCGTCAAAGGCGAGGTTATATTGGTAAGTTGCTATTACCATCACTTCAATTTCATAGTTTACTAGTATTTATAGTCTTTACATGACATCTACACACACGGTAGCGTGTCAAGTAAGAGAACTGGCGAGCAGCACCGTGTGTAGTTTTACACGTATTATTTTACATGATCAGGAGCGCTCTCGATTTAGTGCGGTAACATGATTGATTTAATTATTACAAAAAGGCGCTAAACTATGCACAATTGAAGTACAAGGGAATAGACACGCGTTCTTTCTAGTTCTCTTTGTTTACATGCAGAATATTTCCTGCGTGAAAGAGTGTGACAGTCTATCTATGCGTTCACTCCGATTCCACTAGAATACTTAGAATAATATCACTCGAATACCATTTTTTTTAGTCTATCGCCAGATAAGCGACCACAACAATGGTATGAAGCTTGCTTGATGTTCTTTTTTAACATTTTTATTTCGATTCCATATTAGAATACTTTATTTATACAGAAACAAAAAAATATATAAACTAGAACAATGAACCTAAAACTAAAAACCTTAAAAAATGTAATATAATAACTAACATATATTATTAAAAGGAGTCCGTTTATTGGTTATATTGTAGGTTGTCATTTGATGTTATAATTGCCTGTATGTGTGTAGTTGTGCTAAGATACAAATAAAAACTATTATCTATCTATCTATCTATCTAAAAATAAAAAATGTAATATAATAATACTATTATTCGAGGTAGGCAAGGTTGCCAGCTCTTCGGCCTGCTGTGATGTCGACTAACCTTTTTGCTATTTCCTTAAAAAGCCTCATAAGAGTTAAAATAAGAAAATTTAAAATAATAATAAAATAATTCAGTACTCATTCGGAGTGACAAAATAAAAAATATGACTATTCAAAATTGTTTATATTAAATTTATTTTAATAAAGTTTATTTCTATTTCCTGTATTAACATGATATCTAATTATAAAATAAATATTCTTAAAGAGTACATATACTAAAATATAATTGTAGTATTTTGATCAGATCTATCTTCACATTTTGACATGGTATCAATATATATTTAGCGGCTAAGTTGGGGCCGCTATTATTATATATGATTATGTGTTCATGTTGAAGCAGCATCAGGAAAGAAAGAGGTGAATAGGAACCAGTCGTGACTATTTACATATTTATAATATAGAAGTATTTACAATTAGTATATGTACAAGAAGGCGATTCGGTCTCGAAATGACAGGCCTGTTATTTTATTGCTCTGTCGTAGCTAGGCAACGGTGTTGCCGCGTGGTAATAGTAAATACGCCACATATATTTTGTTGCTAATTATTAATGGTGTAAATATAACATTATAAATTGTAATTGTATATTAAATAATGTAAACTCTAAATAAACAAAGTCTAAAATTATATATATTAAATTTGAAGGTCGTATAAATTATTTCTTCTTACATACATGACTCGAATTAAATTGTTTGTAATATATCCAATTGTAGACAGGTTAAAGGTTAAGGATATTTACGTCTCATAAGGAAAATAGCAGTTTCTTTCAAATCAAGTTGCCTATATTATACTCATTATTATGTGATACTAAATTTTATGAGATCCTGTTAGCCTCAAGTCTTTTATGAGATTCTGTTAGTCTCAAGCCATTAGAAATAAAATATATATTGATGTTGTATTATTTATTGATGAATTTTGCTAATCTATACATATAAATAAAATTGAAGTGTCTGTTTGTAATATTAAAATAACCGTTTTTACTACATGCATGTGAATATAAATACGGTACATATACCAAAATATCATTTTTTACAATTTTTGTCTGTCTGTCTGTTTGTTCCGGCTAATCTCTGAAATGGCTGGTCCGATTTTGACGGGACTTTTTTTGGCAGGTAGCTGATGTAATAAGGAGTAACTTAGGCTACTTTTATTTTAGAAAAATAAAGTTAAATTCCACGCGGGCAAGGTCCCGGGTACAGCTAGTATTATAGTAAAATAAACAGGTCTACGGATTTGAGCGAATTTCTCTTTAATGAATGTTTGTTTTCAATGTATACCTAACTCTGATAATATTCAGAATAAGATACTATTTAACCAAATTCATATAAAGAAAACAACGAAGTTATGCTTAACAAATCAATATCTATCAGTATGTATTTGACGGCCCCGGTGGTCTAGCGGCGCAGCCTTACTTCAGATGGTCGCAGGTTTGATTCCTCGTACGGCACAAACATTTGTATGCATGTGTATGATTGTTTGTATTGATCTGGGTGTTTTCTATGTATTTGTATCATTTATCTGATACCCTAACACAAGCTTTAGCTGCCTTAATTTGGTCTAGATGGCGCTGTGTGAATTGTCCTGAGATTATTATTATTATCTACAAATGTACTTAAAATGTTTCTAGTATGTTGGAAAGAGCTGGCTTTCATGGCACAGGTTTACTTATTTCGAATGTCATGGGCAAATGTATTAAATTGTACTGTATGAATAAAAAAAATATTATTATACTGGATGAAATTTCTTTAAAAAATATATTTGCCTTTGTTATATTACTGTAAAGTTTTATCAAAATCCGTTCAGTAGTTTTTGCGTGAAACAGTAACAAACATCCATACTTACAAACTTTCGTATTTATATATTTTTTCATATTTATTAGAATTAGGATATTTAAAATAGCAACACGCAAGATTCTTGCTCATTCTTCTTCTGATAAGTATGAATGAGTGTTAAAATCCAAACAATTATGACTATTGAAAAGTGCTTATATCAAGTTTATTTTTTAATAATGGATATACCTAATTAAATTTCTAATAAATTTTGATGATATTATTTTCTTTTAGATTACAGGAGCCGGTCATGGAATGGGCAGAGAGGTTGCCATGCGTTTCGGGAGGCTGGGTGGTATAATTGTATGCGTGGACATCAACGCGGTGGGCAACCAAGAAACAGTGGACATCATCAAGAAAGATAAAGGAAGAGCCCACAGATTTGAGTAAGTTGTAATATTCAAAATCAAAATATCTTTATTCATGTAGGTCTATTACAGACTCTTATGATATGTCAAATCTACCGTCAGTTCGGAATGATTTCGAGATAAGAACAACTGACAAGAAACTCAGCTCGTATTCTTTTCAAATAAATGTTGTACATGTTTACAATTATACATATACATTTTAAAATTCAAATTTTGGAGAATCGAGTGACCACCAGCATATGCCATTGCTAAAGCTAACCAATACACTCCATATTGTTGATAAGACAAAGCGGCAAAAGGATGGCAACCCTCTAACGGGTTGCCATCCCTTGTAATGTCTTTTTTTTCTCGGACTACTCTAATGCTGATGGCCGCAGCTGGCCTTTGGGGGAACCGGACGATAGGGGGCGAGTGCAGATGACACTCTAGACTCAAAGCACTTATGGAGTGGCTGAAGGCCTACTCCCGCCTGACGGATACGACTTTAGTCTGAGGGCACCTCGGCTCAGGTCATGGTAACATCGATCCTCGTTTAAATTGGACGGGGGATTGATGTAATGACTTGACTTCATCACACCTTTGTTCTCGCTGTGGTCGTAAATAGCTGTGTCGCGCTGGTTTTGCACTAGAGTCGTGCTAGCGTGGCGCTAACAGCGTGGTAGCGTCGCGCTAGAGTCCAGAGACAGCCATGTTGGCGTCACGCTATCGCCATACTACAGTCAGTACATAGTCTGTGTGTAAAATTAACTTAATTTTTTTTATTATTTCCTATAACTTCTTCCTTCATTAAACTTCCTGATTTTATTTTTTTATAAGGAAGACTTTACAGTCACGTACAATAATAGGTATCTAAACAAAACATGATGCCTCAAAGACGCTTTGCTCATATAAATTTTGTTAGGAGGATGTTTGTTTTTTGTGTGGAACATAAACACAAATCTTGTACAACCTTCGATTTTTTTTAAGAATAGGTATGTTGATCTAAAAATAGATACGTTATATTCTATTTAAGATAGCTACTTATTTTATTACGATGTTGTAATTGAGTAAATATTTACAATTCATTAAGGATTGTCCGTTTATAAATATTGCAATGTGTTTAATGTTTATATGCATTTGTGGAAACTTACAATGAATATATAAACGGCACTTAATAATCCAGTTATGTCACGCAGATTACTCATTCATTGGTTTTACGATTATTATGTAAATGTCTTATATTTATTACTAGCTGTTCCCGCGACTTCGTCCGCGTGGAATTTAACTTTATTTTTCTAAAATAAAAGTAGCCTACATTAATCCTTAATATAATCGATCCAGCCGTTTCAGAGATTATCCGGAACAAAAAGACAGACAGACAAAAATTGTAAAAAAAAATATTTTGGTGTATGTACCATATTTATATTCATATTCAATTATATTTATACGTAAAAAACGGATTATTTAATTACTGTTACTACAATAAGTGTAGTAAACAAATATTGTTTGCGAAAATTGAAAAAAAAAGTCACCTGTAATCCATAAACTGAACGTAGTGGAGTAACTTGAAACAGTCATGCTCGCTATAAAGTTCAAACTGTGGCGGCGTGGTGGGTCGGGTCGATGTGCTCCCTCTAATATGGTTGAGTGCAATGATGGCTGGCTCATCCGTCATACTCGTGAACGGGTGCTGCTTGTGGGGACTGGTCTGTTCAGGTTGCGAACACTGATTAGATTTTTTGTATTCTTTTTCAATAGCATATGCTGGTGGTCGCTCTATTCTCCCAAATTTGAATTTCAATGAATCTGTATTATCGTAAATATGTACATTTAAAAAAAAAATACGAGTTGAGTTTCTAGTCAGTTCTTCTCATCTCGAAATCATTCCGAACTGACGGTAGATTTGACATATCATAAGAGACTGTAATAGACCTACATGAATAAAGATATTTTGAATTTGAATTTGAAGCGGCTAAACGAATCTTAAAGAAATTTGACTTGAAAATAGCATCACGACGTCGGACATAGACTATTTTTAGCTCAAAAAAGCATACGTAGTCGCTAATATCAACTATCAATTGAGAATTAAAGATGAAATCCAACGACTAAAATTTCTTACCAGTTCTTCTCAACTGAAGTAGGTAGGACTTGTAGGACCGTACCGAACTGGACGATAGAGGACCGTACCGAACTGGACGATAGAGATTTACCATCCGTATCGTCCAGTTATAGAAATTATGACATGCACAAGAGGCCGGAAGCTCCGATGTGAATAAATGAGTTAGAATATCATGTAAATGAATAAATAAATAATCCTGGACAATTAACATAGCACCATCTAGTCCCGCGGTAAGCAGAATTTGTGTTATGTGTACTAGACAAGTGATATAAATACTTAATTTTTTTGGTACATACATACATAATATACATAGAAAACAGCCAGGCTGATACAAACAATCATACTCATGAATACAAATGTATGCACCGTGCGTGGAATCAAACCCGCGACCATCCGAAGTAAATCGGTGTACTAAACCGCTAGACCACCGAGGCCGTCAATGTAAAGTTATGTCATCAGGCACGCTTTTTAGGTCCCATCTCCCCAAAGTGGAATTGCATTGATGACCTCTTTGGTCTAGCGATTTAGCATACAGCCTTATTGCGGATGGTTGCGGCTTCGATTTCTTGCACTGCACAAACATTTGTATTCATGAGTATGATTGTTAATGGTCTGGGTGTTTTCTATGTATATTATGTATTTACAAAAAAAAGTATATAAATATTTATATCACTTGTCTAGTACCCATAACACAAGCTCTGCTTACCGTGGGACTAGATAGCGATGTGTTAATTGTCCACGGTTATTTATTTAATATTATTATTGCAGATGTGACGTCACAAACCGGGAGGCAGTGATAGCGTTGAAGGACAAAATAAGCCGTGAAGTTGGCGACGTTACGATGCTTGTAAACAACGCTGGAATCATGCCGTGCAAACCGCTCAGTATGACCACAGAAAGTGCTATCCGTGGCGCATTCGAGGTTAACATCATCGCACACTTCTGGGTAAGTACACAAGATCTGTAAGGCTGAAGGGAAAGTGTGAAATTACAGGATATCAGACATGGTATCTTAGTCTGCTGGAATGGCAACGCAACTAACTTGCACATTTCTGGGTAAGCAAACAAGCTATGTAGAGCAGACGAGGACGCGTGGTATCTTACATTTACGAAAATATCATGTCTGCCAGAAAAAATACAGACAATTTCAAAAGCGTTAGTGATTACACTAATAAAAGCTTACGTAATAATAAACAAATTGATTTTACCTAGATGTCGTATAAGTAAATTAGTAATTTGTTTTATGGTAATTGTGTAAGGTCTTACAATAAACTACCAGAGTTGGTTCTAAATCTGCCTGAAGAAAAGATTCAAATGTGGTATTAAACAGTTCCTTTGTAAAAATGCATTTTGTAGAAAAACTCAAAATTCATAGCACTGATAATATAAACTGATTGCACTAAGAATGAGTGTGTAGCGGTTCCTATGCTGATTATCGCATGCCTCTTATTTGTTATTGTGTAATCATTTGAAGCGGTTTTTTTAATAGATAGAGTGATTCTGGAGGAAGGTTTATATATATAATACATGTACACCCAGGCGAAGCCGGGGCGAGTAGCTAGTAATATTATATAATGCTTACCATCAGGAGGGTTAATAGCTCGCGTGCCGTTCTAGTTACACACAAAAATCTTGGACAACATAATCTTCCTTGCAGCTACTCCAAACCTTCCTACCATCCATGATGGAGAAGAACCATGGGCATATCGTGGCGATGTCTTCCATGGCCGGTGTGGTCGGTCTTCGAAACCTGGTCCCCTATTGCGCCACCAAGTTCGCAGTGCGGGGTCTTATGGAGGCTCTACATGAGGAGTTGAGAGAAGATGCGAAGGATTACAGTGGAGTAAGATATTTTATGTAATAACTAGCTGTGCCCGCGGTTTCACCCTCGAAATTTAGAGCCTATGGTATTCTGATGTATAAGCTATAGTACTGTAAAATTTCACAAAATAGTTTTTGCGTGAAAGAGTCTCGAACATCTATCCATCTACAAATACACTTACAAACAATCGCGTTTATAATATTAGCAAGAACTAAGATTAACTATATTTTAATATTTCTTGTTAATATCTATGAGTTAAATTTATTGTTTATTGCTTTTGTCGCTCTGGTCTCGTCTTATATATGTATTTACAAAACGAAATGTATTTAAGTAACTACCAGTTTTTTTTTGTGGCTGACAATGGAATGGTGCACCCGCCTGCGCTAACGGTTTATGCTCTCGGGGCATCGGTAGAGGATGAACATGAGGTCAGGTCAGTTAGCCCATCGTGACAAATTCACCAGGAATTTCTGGTGAATTTGTCCCCCTGGGCACCATCGTGATGAATTCATCACGATGATTTCCAGGGAGAACCGCGTGGAGGTCAACCTGACATGGTGCATTGCTAGTAATGGGGTCATGAATCCACATTACTACCAATCACCTTCCACCCGGACCTACCAGTTGTCTAGTACCAATAACACAAGCTCTGCTTAACTTTGGACAAATGCTGTGTGTGAACTGTTCTGAGTAAGTATAGGCGATAGAATAAAAGAACTGTGTTTGTGATATTAATGAAACAATGGATAAAAAATGATGTACTTGTAAATTTAAAAGCTAAGTAGTAAGTATTAGGTAGGAACGGTAATATTGCAGAAGTGAAAATTAAAAATATGACAATTCTGGAAACTGTAAAGAAAATACATTCAAAATTGCTACAAAAATAAATATATAAAAATATACAATATTTGTCTTTCATTACGAAACTGATCACTATTATTATTATTTGTTGCAGATTAAACTGACCGTGATCTGCCCATTCATAGTGGATACGGGACTGTGCAAGCATCCAAAGATCAAATTTCCATCGCTCATGAAGATACTGACCCCGCAGGAGGCAGCCGACAATATTGTTGACGCTGTACGCAGGAACTACTACGAGATCACGATACCCAGCTCTCTTTATTACATCAACATGGTAAGTAGCTACATATTTATTTTCCATACCAGTAATGCTCGCAATTTCTAATTAAAAAAAAACATTTATTAATGTAGGAAATTTTAGTCAGTTATCCAAGTCAAGATTTTCGTATTAATATTTTGTTCCATTTTTGCATAATAGTTCGAGATAGTTGGGATCTCTCGATTTAGTTCGCACCCCTATTGCGAACTAGTTCGTTTGCTCCCAACTCGAACTCCAAAAGTCAGTAGGCCGGTCAATCTATAGGCCTATAAGTATTTTTCCCGCAAATTACGGCTTTTATTTTTTTAGTACGACTGAGTTTTAAAGCACGAACTAATGAACGAAAGATCTGCGAACTAGTTCGCGTTTATTGTTAGATCGTCTTTGGAAACGCTCTTCAGAAATGGTTGGTTTACAAATTACACAAACCTATTTCCTACCATCCTGTTCATCTACGCAGCCAAACATGTCTGTGTAGACAAACACACACATCGGCGCCATCTAGTCGCAAGCTTAACAGAACGTGTTATAAATACAAGACCAATGATATAAATGAAATTTACTATGGTTAACTGAAACAACTGACGACCCATGGTAAATAGTAAAATGATAGCTATAATTTCTCTGCTTAATATGCACTCTTCTACCGAAACGCACTGACTGACTTAGAAAGCGAACTGCTTGGCAGCTGAGACGATGTGAATAGGTGAGACGATGTGCCCACGCAAACGACTTTTTACAGAATACCTCTGGTGATGATTTCACCAGGAAATAACCACGATTGTTTTCGATTTGATGATTGACAATAGATCTGATATAATGCATTGCTAACAATAAGGCTACTAGTCTCCATTATTACTAATCACCTCCACTAACTGAACTTCATTATATTGTTTGCAGATCTGCAGAATATTCCCCCGCTCTGTGCCGTTGTACCTCAAAGATTTCCTGGATTCAGGTCTGGAAGCACAATAATACAGAGATTTTTAACATTCCATTAAAAAGAATAGAACAATATTACGTGAAATGCCAGTAGATCATGAACGATTTATATTTGCTCAATTTGATTACAATTCAATATAATCACGCCTATTAAGACTTACGAACTGGCCAATGACTCAAACTGAAGAAATTACCAGGTTTCATAAGGTTTACTACTACTAAGGTTTACAACTACGTTGCTATTTAAAAAAAAAATAAACCGTATGGAACCAACGCCTTAGCTTCGATCAGAATTTAAAAATATACCGACGCATAGATATCTTTGTTATATAAGGAACTGATTTTTGGTTAGAAAGGAATGGTTTTGGGGACCAATAGTTTTGTACCTACGTTCGAAATTTGAAACTTCAATATCGTGCAATAATAATTGCGCGTAAATAATTGTTTTAAAAAGTTCCCGTCGATTTAATTCCGATGAAAAGTTACATATAATAAATTAAAATGTTTTAATAATTGATAGGTACCACCAAATAGATAATAACTTGAGTATGATTGTACTATATGCTGCATGATTGACGCAGTACAATTTCACATACAAAATAGCCTAACTGCGCAAACATACAAACTCTATGGTATCAAATTGTTTGCCGCGAACTGTGCCTGTATTTAATAATAAAATAAATTAAATATACATCAACAAGCTATTATATTGATCTATTGTTGAATAGATCTCTATAATTCTTGTTGATCATTTTTATAAATTGCAGCTAGTTAATAGACTAAACTTTTATTTTTATAGTCTATCTTAGGAAACAGTCTACATTTTATGAAAATATTTCTCTATGAGTTTACTTTAGTCTGGAACTAAACCTAAATCTCGTTACTCAAATATCGTAAATTTATTTGAATGAATAAACAAATGATTTGGACTATCTCTAATATTAGTTGTGAAATTAATTTTGATACGAATTATATAATTTTTCCTATTTTTATACTTGTACAATGTAGGTGTTATTTTAGTGCCTAGAATAATGTACGTGTTTTTTTTAATATTGTATGAATGTTCAGGTATCCATATATTTATTCCCAAATCTTGCCTTGGAATAATAAATCGATATTTTTAGATTGTATTTTAGCCGATCAAATTATTTTTTCTATATTAAGTATACATATATGCATCACAGATATATAATGTGCCATTATTTTATGAGGAATGTCTAAATATAGGCGTAATTTGATTATTTTAATCATGGTTATATATAAAAAAAATGTTTAATTAAACAATACCATTATATACAATAACAGATACACATATTATATTGCTTTTCAAGTATTTAGTTTTTTGTCTCTGTATAGAATTGATCGAAACTTATTTCAGAAATGGTTATTTAAAAAAAATTGTTTTATTCTATACAATTCAAAATACGTATACATCTTACTAAATAAACAAGCATATATTTTGCATTTCAAGAATACATCAAGTTTTTAGTATTTTTTTTTTGTTTACATTTTGGAGTATTTAAAAGTTTTTGTTCAATTTTATTTTTATGCAATCGCCTATATTTGATATTTCACTATACATTTATATTGTTTTGTTGTGTGATATTTAAAAGATCTAGAATAAGGTTGTGATTGTGATGTTAGTGTAATGGGAAATTTATTAATTAAGTGCGAAAGCCAAATACAGTAATTTAACACTTCTTTTGTTTCATTTCATGATTATAAAAAGACCGCTCTTCCAAATCCTCTGTGTTTAAAAAAAAATATTAGCATTCTAGGACTTGTGTCAATAATAAAACAAAATAGTAACATCCGTCTATTTATTTAAATTCATACATCATAGTACATTTTATATATTTAGGTACGTAAGTACCTGTATAATTTTACAGTCTCTATTACACTTAGTAAACTTCTACAGATCAATACTTTGGCTTCAAAATATATGCTACATCCATTCAATAGTTAGGTACTATGTACTTTAATACAATTATTATAAGTTTTATATTTCCTCGATATATTACCATTTTACAACTAAATAATAGTATAGTCATTAATACACACAAATTGGGCTCATGAGCTCGCAACTAAGCATTTTTAATACTTTAAATTCAATTATAAAAACATATTTTCCCATTTCAATTAACTGTCATATTTACGTCGTTTATAGCATTTATATACAATGTTATTTCGGACAGACCTGTTGTTACATTTGCAGTCAAGATTTGTATATTTGAAATTTTGCGATGAGTATGTACTTACACTACGACAGAGGCGCAACTTTACAGGTAGGTAAAAGCCTGTAAATTGGCGCCTCTGTCGCGTCAGCGCAAACGCATTGTGCATCCAGTCACTTCAAAAAAGAAAAAATATCAGACTTGTGCAAGCAACCACCATGCACGCGGCATTAATCTCGAATTTGGATAATATTTTGGTGTTTGTGCTCTATATCTTGGTGAACAATGCGATATCCATTTAGAGGTGATCTCCAGGAGTACGTGCCCAATAAATTGTAGGCTTGTTACCTATTGCCTTGGATGATATTAATCAGTCAGCGAAATAACATCATATTTCTGAATTAGCGACCGCTCCCTAACGCATAGTGGTGAAACAAAATTTTTATACACGAGGTCCTGTAAGTTGTTCGAAATTTAAATTACGAATAACGTCGCGAAGGAATGGCGCGCGTGATGCGGGGCGACCAACAGTCTTTCGGAATTCAGTCGCCATATTGAGCGTTTCACCTGATCGGACTGTAATTTTTATGTCCAAGAGTTTTACTGCAAAGGATTTTATAGTACACCTGTTTATTTCCGCCGTTTCCCACCACCTCAAAAAAATTGTTTTCCAACTGCATTATAACTTATTTAGTATTCATAAGTTTCCAGTGTTTAAATACTAACGGTTTTGAACTTATTTACAATAGATAGATCATAATTAAGCTACATCATAATAATACAAAGCAAATTGGATTTTAGCTGCGAACAGGCTTTCACATGCTATTATTTTTTTTTTATTATTGAATTATTTACTTCTTTAAAGAAGACTATGCGGAAGATCATAAATTCACAAGTCTTATTATTTTGTCTCACTATAACGGAATAACTGTGCAATGTATATATATAATGCATAAATTTTCATATACTTTACCGAATTAGGTGTTATTTTACGGAAGTTCATTTTTTTCTTAATGGATTTTATATATTACGCAGAAAGACTCACTTATGAACGACTGTTATGATTAGATACAACGGCTTTTTTTCGAATTATTCTAATGCTGTTGGCTGCAGCTGGCCTTTACAGCTTCAGTGAACGATAGGGGCAAATGCAGATGGTACTCTAAACCCGCGGATGAACTTACACAGTGGCTGAAGGCCAACTCCTGCCCGACGGAAGCATGAACAAGCAAGAGGTATGAACCTCGACTCAGGCCATCATATTTTCAATCCCCGTTTGAATTCGACGAAGGATCTATCGGAAGGGAAATTCAACAGCATATTTTTTGTTTTAATAGCTTGTCTATTAATTCAAGCAAATAGCTTTAACAGTATTGTAATAGACATACCATGTGACTGATTGTTCTATCAGTAGTATAATTATTTTACGAATCTACAAGAGTTATTGCGCATAAATTTTTGTTTGTTTTTTCGGCAATTTTTAGCATTAATTATAGGTATATAAGTCTTATATACTAGACACATTTAAAATCACTAACACAGCGATAATAATATTGTCTAATTATTTTCATTCAATCGTTTCAATCATTTGCATCCAGTATTTACCCTTTAAATAACTTTTAGACTAGTATTTTAGTACCACGTGACTCGCGCAACAATACTTCGCAAATTCTTTTGTCTTGATTTAAATGGCCAGTAATTTATGAAAATAATTGTTCAATTATATTTGTTGTTCAATTATTATGTGTTCTGCTGCAAACTATACTGATGTTAATTTTTAACATTCTATTAATGTTTCCATTTAGTTTTAAATAGACACTACAAATTCTCTAATTTTAAAGTTACCAAGTCTTCTTTAAACCTAAATTTTATTTCATTGAAAGCAAATTAATATACAATATTTAGGAGTAACGTACAGCTCTCCCGAGCTTATTATAAAAACGCAGTGTTAAATTAACCAGAGATGTCATATACTTATTGGCCTATTAAAGAAATTACCAACTGATTTTAAAATGTAATATATATATTCATTTACTATTCCGATCATACTGCTTTCTGGACATAGATAATAATAATAAATAAACGGTTTTCAATAGACAATAATATTTCAATAACGACTACTTTTGTCGACTGTTACAGTAATGTACAAGAATATTAACTAGGTATCTACTCTAATTTATTTTCTATACAGGATTACAAAAAGCGATGCTATAAGTAGGTATTATATAGATTGTTTTTATATTATATGTATATCGATAAAATCGAAACACTACTTTTTAGTAGTGTGATTTTATAACGATATAAACTAAACATGTAATACTTACATTAAATACCATTTTATTACATATATGTATACTATTTATGAAGACCTCACGTTCGAATTAAATAATCATTTTATAATTATATTTTATAAATATACGACTTATTTATAGCATTATTACATCAACGTAGTGATTATTTACTCAGTGATTACAACTACATAAAGCATTTTATGCTTGTCATTAATATTCGAATTTCAAAAATATTATTTTAATATTATTGTGATATTTTTTTTAATTATCACAAAGCAGATATTTGTCTCTAAATTTTGAAATTAATAATTTGAATATTAAAATAATATACAGACAGCAGTGGCATAACACTATGAGTGCAACGAGGACAAAATACCTAAATACATGTCCTTTGTTTCTTTCTCATTTTTTTTTTATTATAAAGATAACATTTTTTTTAATAAAATTAGTTCTCTATCCGTCGATTTGGCATGGGCATAAGATTATAGACACGACTTATACACGGCACTAACATCAGGGACTGTATTTAAGTATTACGCCATTGACTGAAAATAATAAACCGTCCTTTTCTATTATAAATCCACTAGTATTCGCTAAACAGCTAGCCAAAGTCGTATAAATGTTAGTTATGAAATGCAAATGTTACCAATCTATTGGGCCAATATTATGATAGCGCCTTGCTGCTTGGCCTTAGCACAGTTAAGCAACGAAACAACACCAACTACATCTACTTACTTGTATTAATGCGACAGATATTGCAATAAACACATATAAATTATTTTTGTCTAATCATAATTCCCATTTTCCTGAGTCTTGTACAATGTAATAAAAAAGTTTAAATTCCATTTTTAAAAAGTCGATTGGAATAGGCAGTATGTTATTTTTATACAATTAAGTAATCTATAATCACGGTATAAAATATAAATATTTTAAGATTTTAATTATATTATTTGAGTAAAATATTTCTTTAATAAATAAAAACAAGTATATTTAGACAAATCCTCAAAAAAGTATTTATTATTTTTTTGTTTTACGTCAAAGTATGTGGTTATTTTTAATTTTATTTCGAGAATTAAAATGTTATGTAAATGCAATAAAAAGAACCTAATACATACTAATCTTGAAGAAAACTGTGAAAAGAACATCGAAATCATATAATTAGAATTAAACTTTCTAGACATCCCATTAAAACTACAATATTTTTTTAATAAGTACTTAATATAATTATGTATAATTTGTCGCTTCATTTTCTTCATTAGGCACCAAAAGTACAATTAAATAATGATCATTTGGTCTACATATATCTAACTGCCTATAATATAATATTCTTTCTTCCTTCTCCATTTCCCGAATCCCGATTATTCTTTTTCCACTGAATTACATACAATGTGTTTCTTGCAATATCTACCACTAATTTATATGACAAATATTATTATTACGTAATAATTGACCTCACGATTGAAAAGCCTAGTTGCTTTCTGATTTTATACTTTAATACTAATTGAATACATATTATACTCCATTATCTACCATAAATATATCCGTATATTTCTACAGAACTAATTGAAAAAAAGTTTCTAAGTAGTTGATTTCTGCGAGATGCTTACTAATATATAAATATCATAGCATACATATTCAATATCATATCCACTTAATATCTCTATTAGATCTACTGTAATTATTTGAAGTATGCTTACTTATTTTCCTTATGCTAATAATTATGGAGGGAACTTAAAACTTAATATACAAACAAATTGGAATCATAAATTAGGATATGAATAAATATATATAATACAATATTAAGTAAAGAATGTCTTAGTTATCAATTTATATCGTCGACCTGATGAGGCTACAGGCGTATGGGATAGAGGCAAAGAAATATACTTATATAAAGGTCATAATCGTCATTCCGGGTTGCATTCGGCTCAAAATTCTCCTGTAATTTAGCGCAGAAATTCTGTCAGCGTCATGGGAACCTTTGGGCCGGATACGAGACGAAATAATTTTGATTAGTCATTCTATTAATTATATCGGAAGACTTTTTCAGAAACAAAAATCATGCATGTAACTCAGAAAATATGGCAAAAACATTCCACATTTCATTTTGTGGATAACGAAACGTCTATGGACATATTCCTATTTTTTTATTTTATTAATCATTTAACCACAGACTACTTAGCCAACGCAGTTCTCTAAGTATTCTGTGATTAAATGCGTAATAAATTACTCTGTGGTTATTGCGAATAGGTCACTTAAGGAAAAGGATTTCTTGGTCAATTGTAAGTAAATTGTAAAAAAATATAATCTAAAATATTTTTTTTTAACAAAAGACATAATAAGAACTTTTTAAATCAAATTGCTTTCATATTTCGATTATGCCATATTTTTTCGGTACTGTTATTAATGTTTGTTAGTGTCTTCCGCTATATGTCAGTATTTTATATATTAATTAATTTAACTGTATTATTATTACATTATAATTATTATATTTATATTTAAACTAAAACTAAACATATTATAATTTATTAAACATATGATGTTGCTATTAGATATATAATTTGCAGTAAAAAATATAATTTATTTCTCACTAATTTGAACTTGATAGCTTGAGCTCAGCTTGTAGGTAGACGAGTGAGGCTATATAGTTAGTTATATAAATTATACTTTACTTAATTCTATATTTTATATATATATACTTATATACTTACATCTACACATTGCTTACGATCTCGTTGGTTATATTTTTATACTTTCTTTCTTACGCTGGTCCTTCCTAATTTTTTTTTGTTATTTTTAAATTTTTATTGTATACACCAGTCCATTTAAATATATTTTTTGAAGTATCAGTGAGATTTAAGTGAGGTAAGTTGTTTTTCTATTTTTAAGAATCTTCCTAAAACAGGAGTCGCAGCAGAAAGGATATCTTTAGTCCTTGATTTATAGCATTTTGTATGTACCTATATATATTATGCAATAGTGATCATACAAATCTAATAATCTAATTTTGCAGCATGTTTCTGCTTGTCATACATATCCATTTGGGGCCATTATAACTACCTTATATAATAAATATAATATAGAAATATTTCAGACTTAATAATAAACTGCATTATCTTAAGAAAATTATTACATTGGAAATCGACTTTATTATTGTAATTTTAAAGTTGTATTCCCATAATTTCTAAATTGTAACTTATTGCAGTTTATTAATAAGAATATTATGTAAATGTATATAAACTAGAAGGTAAGCTCAAAGCTTTCTCGTATAGAGTTTGTTTCATTATTAGACATACGAACTGTGAGAAGGTTTAGATGATACTTAAATTCCTATCAAATCCATAATTGCAATTAGTTCTTTTTTTGCAAGAAAATTGGTATGCTCAATGTTTTTTAAACATACAGATAAAATACTAGTAGTTTTACAGTACGGATTAGATATTAATTATAAATTAGAATAATTTTTGTTTTTTTCATATAGTATTTTCAATTAAAAAATAAAAAAAAAAGAACTGAGGCTGGTTTTGTGCCTAACAATTTTCTTCTCCATTAAATCTTTAATAAAATTGTCATCATGCTTATTTGCAACAGTTAAAGTTATCACTGCGAACTAGAGATGACTTCGTGGTTGAAAAGGTAACCAGTATTCACAAGTTTTTGTGGTTTAATAAAATTTATTTCCTCTCTCTATTTTACTAGTTCTATGTAGAATTAAAAAAAAAAACAATGTGGGACACTGCATATTGAATAAATATATGGCAAACCTAGGCATGTGCACAACAAAAATCTGCAAATTTAGCCAAGCTGAAGAGGAAACGCTACTACACATCTTATGTGGTTGTAGCCCACTTATGCATAAACAAAATATCTCCTTTGGAAAGTTTGCACTCTATCATGAGCAGAAAAACCATCGCTCCTAAGAATATTCTTCAATTCTTACCCCTAATGGGTTTAGGTAGCGAACTCTGAAAAAGAGCAAGCACAATAGATCTATGTAAGTCGTAGTGCTACAGGTCCAAGCACCTAACAATAGCCAAAACCTCCTAATAAAAAAAAGTATAAATGTCATAATAATACATTACTTATTTATATTAATTATGAAATATTATGGTAATCAAACATAAATTAATTCATTTTAAACTCGCAATGATAACTCATAAAATATTCAATATACAGGATCGCTTCTTTACGTATGGCTGTATATAATTCTTTCCGAATGCCATTGTGAAATATTAAAATATGTCGACATCTTTCAAATGTTGGTAGTTACGATCCCAGTATCCGCCGTTGTAGAGCCAATCCTCCTGTTTAGTGTACGGGTTTGTTCCCTGGCTGAACCATCTGGAAGTTATTTATTTTGATAACTTTAATATTATTTATGTTTTATGTAACAATATTGGTCCATATTATATATCTATATATATATACTAGAGTGTTAAAATACAGCAGGGGTTAAATATTGTCTACCTTAAATTAGGTATTGTAAACTAAAAGCATATTTAAAAAATAACATACAGACTGTGCGAATTGAACCTGCGACCATCGGGTATAAAGAGTGCTGAACTGTTACACCACTGAGGACGTCAATAACATATTTACCTGGCCTGCCAGCTCTTCTTGAGAGCTGCGTCGATGTCGCCCTGCTCCAGCAGCCTCACGTCGGGACGCAGCCGGCTGTCCGTCGGACACAGCTGGCCCTTCATGTCGCGCTCCAGCTCGTTCAGGGACATTGCGAATTGAAAAGCAAAAGATTTGGAGTTTACCGGATGAGCGAGATATTAAAAAAATGAGTATGAATATTCAAAATGGGTTAATATTAAGTTTTTTTGATTAATTAATTTTTATTATTATATTTTTTGTTACTAGCTTTTGAAACAAGAATGATAAAGACTTTCAGTATTCGTCTCGTCACTATTTTCTTTTATTCTACTCTATTCCATACTGCGTCTGTTCTACCTACTTTATTCTTCTATGAATTAAGGGGGTCTTCCTATGTGATGGGTTGAAAAAATCGATTTTTTTTTCATAAATTGCTCCCTTAACATTTCTAGAATACGGTAGTAAAGCGATTTTAGAAAATTCGAAGTCGTTTTAAAGATACAGCAGGTAAAAGTCAGTTAGAGACCGGGCCTATTGTGTACCGTCGGCTTTATACCTGGCCTCCCTTTTATTAATATATTTGTTTATACAAGTTTAGACACGTTTCTACAGACTTAAACAGAAATTTCTATTGTTATAATATTTTACCGAAGTTATTTTAGTCTTGGTTGAACTCGAAGAGAGCCTGCCAAATTATTTTTTTTCATAATGAGTGGACGGAAAGGAAGTACGAGTGGAAATGTTCATCCTGGTCGTAGTAAAAAAAGAAAGTTTGAGCATCAATTTTGTCCAGAAGGTGAAGACAGTTGGTGTAAATGGCGTAAGGCTGAAGCTAATAATGAACTGGACCAATTTCATCACGATAAACCACCTCTAATTCCGCAAGTCCAAGAAGCTATCAAACCGGTTTTCGAAGATTTATCGAAAGACGAATTATTAATTCGTTGTTTAGGAGCAGAGACACAAAACAATAACGAATCTTTGAATTCTTTGATTTGGACTTTCGCACCTAAACATCTTCATTCTGGTCCCAAAGTTGTTGAAATTGCTAGCTACTTAGCAGTTATTATCTTTAATGAAGGTTTTCAAGGTATTTTAAAAGTTATGTCGATTATGGGATGCCCTGTTGGTCGTGAAGCCCAAGCGTATGTTGAGAAACGGGATGAAAAGCGAATCTTACGCTCTGAGCGGCGCGTAAGTGATGTCGTTAAACAAGCCAGGATTGACTCAAGAGCTGAACAATCTGCTTTAAAAGAGTTTCACGAGGAAGAGGAAGGAATTCTATGGACCAGGCATCGCCGATTGAGAGTAAGTTGATATTTTAATAGTTTAGACTTGAAACTTTAAACGGTTTTTCTCAAAACTGTGTTTTTTGTTTATTTCAGAAACGGCTGGATGAAGCGAGCACACTCAATATATTAAAAAATGAACTATTATCAATCGAAAATATTCAAAATGATTTTTTTTAGCAAAAAACAAAAAAAAAAATAATTTAACTTTTTTTTGATCAAAAATAATTTTTTTTATATTTTTATTATTATATTTTTTGTTACTAAAAGCGTTTTTTTTTTTTGGATAACAAGAATGATAGACTTTTTTTCGAGTATTCTGTCTCGTCACTGAATATTTTTCTGAAATTTTATATTTATACTGTCCAAATATGTGTTAATAAATGATTCTACTCTAAATATTTATGGTCGTAGAAAAAAAAATCTATGAATTAATTTGCCAACCAGCAACATTTGTATAGAAAAAATAAAGTTTGGTTTTTATGAGCACAGTTCTTCCAATTATTCTTTTCATAATAACCTTTGTGAAACTTAATATAATACAAAACAAAAATATTTAATTTCGTCTCGTTCTCGCTTTTGCGCTTGCCTCTGCCTATCACAACTGGGATTGTGAAGATATATTTATTACTAGCTGCGTCCGCGGTTATAAGTTATTCTAATGTATAAGCTATACTACTAGTAAAGTTTCATTAAAATCCGTTAAGTAGTTTTGTGGTGAAAGAGTAACAAACATCCACCCATACTCACAAACTTTCGCGTTTATAATATTAATAAGATATATTATTATTCACAAAAAAAATTAATTGCCTAATATTTAGATAATAGGCATATGATTTTCTTACTTGTGCACTACTGCTGGGCCTGGGCCTGGCCTCCCACAGAGTGACAGAGCTCGGTATCTCGATGTTGAACGTGTCATCTGACTTGGGTACATCATCTGAGTTCTCAGGTTCATCCGACTAGAAAACGTAATTAATATTAATTATATTACAAAAAAATATATGCTGTCGAAGTGGAAATGAGAGGTATAGCAGCGAAATCTCTACAATCTTCTAAAAGATCTTGGCCTGTATAGAACTGCAGTAAGTTCTATACTAGAACGTGTATCTAAAGCTGCACTAGATGTTCCTATCAGATTTATCTGGGCAGGGAAAAAAATATTATCTATCTATCTATCTGTTTAAAAAAAACAGCTTCAAAAACCGTCGCGTAATTTTAAAGATTTAAACATACATAGGGACGGACAGACAGCGACAGCGACTTTGTTTTATACTCTAAATATAATAATAATAATGATATACATTTCATTCAAATGATTAAATTAACATGTGAATCAACATATGGCAGTGAAATTACAAGGTATGAAGTCATGATATCTTAGTCGCCTGGAATGATTGATTGACTGGCGTTGTATGATAACATGATATCCGTAGTGCTATTCATGTATATGGGAGATAATTGCCTCTTACTATAATGTGGGTCAGATTGTTTACCATTTCAAATCTATACGAAAAATAAAAAATAAAATAATGAGTAAAAATAAAGGGGCTTTTTTTGGCAGGCTGTAGACTCAATAGAGATCGTAACGCTTCCAGTAGCGGAATTAATAAACCTAATATAAATCCATTACGTAATGAAATAGACTTTCGCAAAATGAGATCTAAGATCTAATTTAATAATATATTAACACTTACGTCCTGTACTGACATGGAGCGTAGCGCCCCTACTTTGAAACTGTTTAGTTTGGCGAGCACTTTCTTGGGAGTGTGGGACGGAGTTTGTTGTGCGCTCGCTTCCTCTCCACGTTCTTTTGCCCATTGTTCATAAGCAGCCGCATTACAGCACTTTATGTATTCCGTCCACTTACCATATAGGAATCGAATGCGTTTCTTACTGTAAACACAATAAATTCTACCATATCACCAGTGTAAGACTGCGTCAGTAGTAGAGTTGCAATAGTTAAATTATACTACATATTAATATAGTTAAAAAATATTAACATGCAGTGAAGATAGGTGAAATGAAATTATTTCTCCATTATCCTTATGTTTTCCTAACTCCTTCACCCAATCCGGAGTAGCTCCTTAAATGTTGGTGTGATTAAAATTAATTTGGTATAAATTTAAAGTTAACAGATTAACCTTTTAAATGGTATATATGGTATTTTTATTATTCTTAACTAGTTATTAAGTACTCAAGATCGCGCGAAATGAATACCATACGTTTGCTTGCGAGCGTATATTTATTTTATACCAAAATTTAAAAACCTAAGTTTCTGCTTAAAACCTTTCAAGGACTTCCCTGGACTAAAAAATCTAGGACATGTCCAGGCAAAACAGGGTTGGCAACTCTATAGTACGATATAAATTAATATATTGCATTTATTTAAAAGAGCAACACGCTAGTTTCTTGACGTTCTTCTTGTGATGAATCTGCGTTCCATGTGAGAGGTAAAATAAAAAAATATGTTAATTAAAAAATGCTTATATTAAGTTTATTTCAATTTCTATATACTCTTAGTACTCACTTGGAGTCCACTATAAAGCCGTCAACTCTATGCAAGTCTCGATTGTTGAAGCCGGCCGGCTTGAAGGACAGGTTGGCCTTCAGTCCAGACCCACCATGGCACACCACTTCCATGGGACCATACTGCTCGATCCATAGCTTACCAACAATAACATTATGAACGCAGCAGTTTACGTTACTCCACGTGTAGGCTTCACCCCATCTAGAAGTTACATAGAATAAAATTAAATGTATTTATTTGCTTGAAATATGGTATACATATGAAAATAAGCTATAGAATTCAAAATTAAAAAATCATTTATGTATTATTCATGTAGAATATATTAGCAACTTCTGAACGTCAATTTTTTTTCATTATAATTTTAATTTTTTCCCTACCGTCCAGTTTATATATGTATGTATATTATATATGTTTGTACGTACTAACATTAACTATAAGAAAACTATAATACAAACAAAATAGGCAAGAAAACCTGATAATAAATTAATCATAAATAAATAAATTATAGGGTATAGTTTATTATACATTAAACATACGGCTTAATGTATGGTATGGTAGTGTTTTTCGTCATTACAAAGCGATCTAAATAAAAATGTAAGTGGTTATTTATGGTGTTTATGTAATGATGAATGAAATAAATTAATATTAAAAGAACGTCAGTATTATAAAGTAATCGACCTATTTCCCCATTGTTTAAACAATAACCCTATAATTGTCAACATTTTATACAATTTTTTTCTTTACTTTTCATTTATTTCTTAATTTGAAAGTGAGTTACAAACAATCGATTTAAAATAGCATAAGATGTTAGAGGGTATATACTTTTACTTTTCGATAATTAAAACTAAACAGTATGGTAGAAATTATAACAATCTTTCTAAAAGGATTGTTGCGGGTAAATGCTACTATGTTTGGTTGAGACGATGTATATTAAAGATGATAATCGACTGACCATATGCAGATAAAAATATTGATCATATATACTACATGACAATAGGAAAATGTAAGGTGGCGTGACATAGTTTAGACTCGGCAGTGCTTAGTACACAATGTTGGATTTCTCTTACTAGCCATTATTAAATGTAATTATTATTTTGATGTATCTTGGTAACTGTGTCCCATAAGGACCGATGTTGTTTCTAGAAAGATTAGCAAAATTTCAAGTACCGGAGCGGCGTAATCTTACAACATAACAAGATTACTCTTCAGGTAATTTCAGATGTGTATCCAATTAGATACTGCTCTAAATTACCGTAACTCGTAAATTATTACCTGGGCAGCTCCACAGTGACATGTCCCTTGGGTTGTATTTCGACGCTTTTGCCACAAAATTTGAGTTTGGGGTGAACGGACCCGTGAAACACGAAGTGAGGACTGTCCGCATGGAACGCTGATACTGGGGGATGGTGGGAAACCTGAAATACAAGGAAATATTTTTAATTAATAATTACAAACTATGTACATAATACTAATAGCAATTAATAATAATATTAATAATATAAACTACCTACATTTGTATAAAACTTGAAACCTAAAATATAAGAAAAGATATAACGCTTTTGCTTTATCCTATGATACTTTAATATTTAGTAGGTATTTGGTGTTAGTATTTATTTTATATTAATTTATCTATGGACGACCTCGGTGGTATAGTGGTTTAGCACACGCCTTACTTGGTCGCGGGTTCGATTCCTCACATTGCACAAACTTTTATATTCATGAGTATGATTGTTTGTATCGGTTTGGGTATTTTCTATGTGTAATATATATGTACTCATGAAAAAAAAACATATATGAATGATAGTGAAATGGTATTTTTGGCGTGGCACCAGTGGAGGATGACAAGATGAGCATGAGGTCAGGTCAGTTAGCCCATCGTTATGTCAACCTGACATAGTACATTGCTAGTTATGTGGTCATGAGTCCACATTACTAACAATCCCCTTTCCACCACCTATAGATATTAGATAACTGATACTAATATATATACATTTGTATCAGTTATATAATACCCACAACACAAGCTTTAGCTAGCTTAACTTGGGTCTAGATGGCGCTGTGAATGAATACACCTGAGATTATTATTTATTAGTGTAACGCCACAAATATCACAATATTACTTTTTGCGGCTACAACCTAAGCAGATCTTGTGTTATGTGTAGGTAGTGGACAACTGAATGATATAGTTAGATACTTTGTTTTTTGTAAAAACATTATATACATAGAAAATACTTGGACCAATACAAACAATCATACTCATGAATACAAATGTTTTTACTGTACGAGGAATTGCACCCACGCCCATCGGAAATAAAGCGATGTTTCAAACAGCTAGATCACTGACGCTGTCAGAACAGGCAGTGAAATTACAGGATAAGAGGACACCTACCCTCTGAAATGACAACGATTTCACCCTATTCGAACTTACGATTTTGTGACGTTTTGGTTTCTTACCTGTTCACAGACTGCTCTAAACTCTGGTCTCTCGAGCTCGTAAGTTTCACCAAGCAGTGGGTTGAAAGGTTTACCCAGGCGTTCCCAATTCGACGCCAACGCACTTACAGCAAAAGCTGCAATATAAAATATACAATATACCATTGGAAAAACATATTTAGATAGTTATATAAATTCATTATTCATCAATTACAATTAAAGATAAAGAAGAAGCACTTGATGATGAACAAGGTACAATTATTTACAAATTGTAGTGCTACACCTTAAACCTACCAGCTATGTACTCCATCCTGGCGACTGGATCAGTTTGTTCGGAGGCCATTCTGAGCAGATGCGCGTACTCCAGGTACTCGAGCATCCGCTGGAGGAAGGAGAGCGGCTCATTGAACACCACCGGCATCGTGATCTTGGACAGCTCCTTGCCCACGCAGTTCTTCAGCACCGACCACAGGGAGAAGTCGCCGCGGCTGAATTGGGCAACTGGCAGAGAGCTCCTGGTGAAGAAGATAAAATATGGTGAACTTCTAGATTTTCCTTTTTATTTACTTATTTATTAGGTACTACTTTGATATAGAACCATAGATCGCGAATTCAAATGTCGTCGTAATAGAAAAATGTGTCTGAATTTATATTTCTGATTCTCCGGTGATGACAAAACCTATATATAACAAACAAAATTATTCGAAAAGAGCGGCGGTAGGCCTGAGAAATATGGAGTTGTCACTACAACGTTAAACGATAAACGTCGTGAAGGATTCCCTCTGACCGATCCCCCGTCCAGTTCAAACGGGGATCGAAATCACAACGACCTGAGCCGAAGTTCGAATCCTTAGCGGTACCCTCAGTCTAACATCATATCCGTCATACGAGTTGGCTATCAGCCACTCCATAAGTTCTTCCACAGGTTTGGACTGTCATTTGCAGTCGCTCCCTATCGTTCAGTAAAGCTATAAAGGCCAGTTATTAGACTAGTTAAAAAACGTCGCGAAAACACTATTAATATTTAGTTACGACAATTACCTGCTTTAAATACTTACGTTTATTTTAAAATAAATTTTGTATATTCACTAAACGAAGACAAACATTGTTATAAGGTTTTATCTTGAAACATAATTTCCATTACAATTTTCGACACAAATTCTCACTACATCTCCAGACATTCTCAGATTCAAATTAGCAATAGTCTTCGTGAATAACGTATGAACCTGACTGAATCTGGTAGCTTAGTAGACGAAAATACTCATATTCACTACATTAGGCAGTGATTTGTCTATAAAACCTATTTTATTGTTAACATCATCATTACGACTAATAAAATCAACGACAGCACATTCAAACGACGATAAACTCTACGTGATAATAATTCCAAGCTTACGACCTTGGGTATCTCAATGTAATCTGGGGCCCGAAATGAGGGGTAGGTCCTATCGACCCGCCGAATTGGGCCAAGGCCGACCGTCTTCCAACTCTGTTCTTAATCCTGTTGGTTTCCTTTTGTTAATCTGTGACAAATGATAATAGGGCTATCATTTGTTGATTTAAACGGCATTTAAACAATTGTTTTATAGCTCAATTTGTTTGTGTGTTTTACTAATATAATACTTAAGCAAATTCCAGAATTACCTTTTATGTTCTAATTTTAAAACACACTTATTATACAAAACCTGTTAAGTATTCATTACTTATTACTTAATTGACAAGTATTCTCGCTAGATATAAAGAGATTAGAGTTTTTCTATATTATTTCTTTTTGGTGTATTTTATATGTATAATTTAATCCTTATATTTGGATTGATAAATTCTTTTGCTTGCAGGTTTCTGTTGTAATTTAATACAACGGAAATGTTATTATTAGAATATTTTAGAATGTTCACTGTACCTATGGTACTTAAATAGATAAACAATAGTAACATATTGACTTTAAAAAATATCAGTTGGGTTTCTTAAAATTATAATAGAATTAAAAAAATAAGACATACATAAAAATTATATATGTACTAATAAGTCCTCCACCAATTAGTAATGATAGTGTTTGTTACTAATCCTAAGTAATGGCTAAATTGTTAAGAATTTCTTCTCTGTCAGCCCGGTAACCATGCTGCCCCTTCTAAAAATTATCGTGGCTAATTTATGGGAATTCCACATGAAATTAATGTAAAATTAATTCATATAATACTGTAAAAGATTTACTTATTTACTTCCAACATATATACCCAGTTATATGTTGGAACAGCGAGGGCGGCATAACTAAGAGGGAAAATATAATTACATATTATGTACATAGTACATTAAAGCAAATATATGTTGTTTAGACACGCTTAGAATTTTGCTGGAAATAACTTGGCAGCAATTTAATCAAATTTCCTTCAAGCCAGAGTAGGTACTTATATCAAAGTTTAAATTCGCTAACCGGACTTTGAACGTTTCAAATTCTGTTTCAGGGCGGATTCGAGAGGTTGGATCGCGTTGGGAATAAATTACAAACATAAATAAAAAGTATTTTAACTTTCAAACTGTATTAAATTTACTTAAAAAATTATATCTCACCTTTTCGCCTGTACTAATTAAATGATCATTTATAATATTAAAATTATTGAGTAATTTTTATCTGCTTTTGTTTAGATGAAAGATAGACAACATTCGGGTAACGTAACTTCTCATTTATATTATTATAGTTAATAGTGTAGAAATAAGGTTTAATTTTCTGTACAAGTATAAAAAAATTTCACTGGGTAATTAGAAGAAATTACAGAAAAATGAAATGGTTCTTTTTTTACTTTTAATGCATTAATGAAGTTAGTCTAATGTTATTGAATAATAATTACGTTTATTCACTAACAATATCAGTTAGATCATGTATAGAGTCCAAATGTAATCAATATTTTAAAACACAATTATTATTGATCACCATATATTTTTATCGTTACTACTATTTATTACTGTACTAGTTTTTTTCGGAGACTTCGTCTGCATTTCTTGCCTACGTCTGCCATTGGGATATCAGTCTTCACATCTTCACGCAAAATTCAAGCATTTATACATACTGACATAAATAAACACTTGTGTTTATAATATTAATTTAGATTTATACTTTACTAGCTACTCGCCCCGGCTTCGGACTGATGTACATGTATTATTAACCTTCATCTATTGCTAAAAACTCTATTAAAATCCATTTAAAAGATCTAAACGAACAGACAGCAGAATCGACTTCATTTTATACTATGTAAAGATATTGTCAATAAAAACTGTGTTCCTACCGATATGCGACATATACAAATGAACGTATAATATATGACCAACAATCCAGTATTTCCCCGGACGAAACTTTCCCAGCTTGTAGACGAGACGAGACCGCACGGTATTGATCGAGTCTCGGTGACCTTGAACGAGTGTACACCCTACTCCAGCCAGAACGTACCCGCTCTAAAATTCCAACGGATTTGGATAGCACCTGTTGAAACGTAGGACTTATTTGAAATATATATTTCATGTAGGTGATATGTATCTTTTTTTGTTATTTAAATGGAACGCCAAACGAGTTGACGGACGGTGAGCGTCGTATATGTACCTATATAATAGCGTTTTTTTTATTATTTTAATTTTATTTTGGTAAAAAAAGTCATTATAATATATGTATACATAATAGGTAGACGAGAACCGAAAAGTATTTAATAGGATTAATAAGTGGTGTTCACATAATGAACTTATAAGATTTTTTTCTACATATTGTACTACAAACAGACAATACAACAATATGAAATATAACATAAAACAGGTATAACATAGAGAGTGAAGAAAATAGTGCGTGAAGAAAACATAACTATTATTAAGCAAACAAAGAATACATTACAATATCCAGAAAATAGTTAAGTACTTACCTACATTTCATTACGCAAAACAATAAATTGTCAACTGAGTTATCTGTGCGTTAAAGACATCATGATATCATGTGATACACATGCGTTTAATTTTTGCAGCCCGATAGTAGGAAAATCCAATTTGCATGAGATCACACCAACACACATACACACGTGTATTTTACATTTTCATACACCACAATCAATATAGAAAAAGCGTATCTTCTTTTTGTTTTGTGTGTGTTTATTTTATATTAAGTAAATTGTAATTATATTAAGTGAGTGTCGTGTGTTTAAGTGGATATCTATCTAATAAATACCATTCCTTAATTTCTTTTTTTACAGCTTACCTACCGCGAAAATACTGAAAATATTTACATAGTATAAAACAAAGTCGTCTGTTCGTTTATATCTTTTAAATTACTCAACAGATTTTAATATAGTTTTTAGCAGGGATGTTAGGGAGCTCCGTAACCGTAACCGAAACCATCGGATGTCCGATATAAAAAATATCCGTAACCGTAACGGAATCCGAAATAAAAGTTTCGGACAATATCAGATAGGAGCGAAGCCTAATTGAGATACGTTATGTAATAATTTTATTACCTGTTTGTATTTTACTTTTGAAATTCCTTAAAAGATTAATATCCGAAACCGAAATTATCCGAAACTAACGGATAATCCGAAATAATTTCATATCCGCATCCGTATCCGTATCCAGTATAATAATCATTCCTATATCCGAAACCTATCCGTATCCGAAATTTGACATTAATAACATCCCTGATTTTTATATAGGGTGATTGAAGATAAAGGTTTATATGTACCTATATGTATAATACATGCGTGTTATAGTATAGAACAATATATATTATTTATATCACTAATAATCTATGTATTAATATAAGAACTTAACATTATATCAATTTGAAATGGTCTTCTTTCTTTGAGAATATAGATTTAATCTAATTATATTACACTACCTACTGTTGATAATCTAATTTATTTTTCTGTATTCAGCTGTATTCATTTCTAATCTCCTAACTGAATCTACATTGAAAGCTTGGGATTTCCGTCGGTAGGTATTGATCGGCTGTTTGGTCAGACCACATTTCACTTCATTCTTGTTGATAAATCTATACCAATGTTGATCCAGCTGTAACAATCTATACTCTATACATATAAATAAAATTGGAGTGTCTGTTTGTAATATTGAAATAATCATTTTTTACTACATGCATATGAATATAAATACGATACTTACACGAAAATAACATTTTTTACAATTTTTGTCTGTCTGTCTGTTTGTTCCGGCTAATTTCTGAAATGGCAGGACCGATTTTGACGAGACTTTTAAACATTTATGAAGACATTGCAAACTGGAATATTGAAACACACTACAAACATATTCAAGTAAATAGTTGCATACATGATGATGATCACAATGATGATGATCTTTATTGTGATTCATAGGTCATATAAAGTTGTTCAAAAAATATATAGCGAAGTATCTACCTCTATTAACTTAATCATTAGTCATATTATATACAGTTGTGCTTGTTTTTAATTAAATATTACTTACACTGATGACTAAGATTTCTTCAATTATAAGCATACAATAATTGTTAAAATTAAATGTTAGTCACCAATAATAATTAAAAACAATTACAACTGTGCACAATATGAGTAATGATTATATTTGTCATTAAAATATTAATTAATATTGCAATACCATTAATAATAAATCATGAGGGCGATTTTTAAAAACATTTTTAATAAGTTTTCACACTTTGATTTTTGTATAATTTTACGTCAAGATAGACTTTTTTATGTATGATAATGGCATGATGCACCCGCCTGCGCTAACGGCTTACGCTGGCGGCGCACCAGTGGAGGGTGATAAGATGAGCGTGAGGTCGGGTCAGTTAGCCCAGCGCGACAAATTCACCAAGAATTTATCACGATGGTTTCCAGGGAACGGCGTGGAGGTCAACTTGCTAGCAATAAGATCATCAGTTCAGATTACTAACAATCCCCTTTACCCCCGTCAAGGTAGATTGCACCTACCTATCACGAAGACGTCATATATATGTATATATTATACTAGCTGTCCCGGCAAACGTTGTTTTGCCATATAAATTAATAACGCTATAAAAGAATAGGGGTTGATGATAGACGGGTGAAAATTTAGGATTGTATGTATTTTTGTATGTTGTATCATAAAAAAATAGAAACTAAAAATTTTGTCTAAAAAATAAAAAAAAAATTAGGGGGATGAAAAATAGATGTTTGCCGATTCTCAGACCTACTCAATACGCTCACAAAATTTCATGAGAATCGGTCAAGCCGTTTCGGAGGAGTATGGGAACGAAAACTGTGACACGAGAATTTTATATATAAGATATATAAGACGTCTTCGTATATATTTGCTGTCTTTTATATAAAAAAAGCAAACAAATTCGGGAAATCAGCCAAAACCAAACCAAACTCGACTTGTAATTTTAAAGATCAGCATGCAAACAAACCGTTTTTTTTTCTGATGTCAATTTAATTAACACAGAGACATCTTGGGAATAACTATGCACAGCTAGTGTTGTACGTTGTAGAAGTTTAGCGGGCACTATATCTTTGCTTATATGTAAATATATTATAAGGATAAACTATATATATTGTGTATGTATTTACAGAAAAAATGAAACTATATGTACTTAGATATATCAGTTGTCAAGTATCGTTTACTTGAAAACTTTATACTTATATATGTATGTGCATAACGTACCTTTTTTACATGGTAATTATATTTTTTAATACGATTTTTTCTTTGTTCTTTTATTATTCTCAATTTCGAAGTATATGTTTTACCATCATACCTTACTTTCTCTTAATACTAAAAATAAAATATACTAAAAATTATCTATATATTATTGTATATACTATATATAAACCTCAGTCTTTAAAAATATATATTTACATATAAGCAAAGATATAGTGCCCGTTAAACTTCCAGATGGGCAACAGCTCGGCCTGTACACATAATAACTTCCGTACAGATCGGCCAAGGGCGCGCTTAAAATTTAATTTCCTACTCAAAGTGGGTGGCCCCTATCCCCCCCTCCTACAGGTGAGAGGGGTGGGCGTCCCGCAACAGATGACTTGAACAGCTCTATATATTTACCTCATTTCAGCGCTTATAAAAATGAAGAGTTTAAAGTCGTGTGAAGATGAGTGACTCTTAAGTATTATAGATGCTGTGCCCGCGGTTTTACTCGTGTTAAATTTATAGCCTATATGTTATTTTGATGTATAAGCTATATTACTGTAAAGGATTTTGATAAAACAAAATCCGTTCAGTAGTTTTTGCGTGAAAGAATAACAAACATCTATCCATACTCACAAACTTTAGCGTTTATAATATTTCTTGTTGCCGTTTGATTTATCATCAACAGTGATTCATAACCTTTTTGTGCTATACGACATCTTTCTAAAGCCCCTAGGTATGTATGTAGCACACATATAATTTAATATTTATTAATGTAAATGAATGTAAAGTCATAAGAAACTTAAATGATATATTTTACAAAGAAATCACTAGGAAATTGTCAACGAAACACAGTAAGTACATTTTCAAAATACACAATGAAAAACTGGAATTAAAATTCTGACTAACTTCTAAAGATTCTCCTAATATAGGATTCTCATAATTTAGTTATGAAACAATTAATTAAGAATTTGCTTTTTCGTTAAATTTGGCATCGAAATCTAGTATTGCATTTAGACAGCCCAGAGCGAAAGAGTTAACCTCGTGTCGAGTCCATTTTCGAATTGCTCTCCTTAACAATCAAATTGACTCCCTATTGGGCATGGGCCCCAGATTTGAAAACACTGGCATAGACAAATGTACAGGCGGTGTCAAGTGAAGTCGCAAGAACACGTAGTTATTATATGAAAATTATAATAATATTGTTTCGCAGAGTTGGCTTCTGACAAACTATTAAACTAATTTATGTAGGCGAGAACTCGTGGGAGCTGGCTCTAATTTTAAGGTTAGAAATGAATGGATCTCGTTGGGAGATATTAAAACTACAACATTAATTTGATAAAGCATACCTACACAGAGGATTTTTATAAGAACACAATGAAGGTAAATGAGCGAAGAAAAATGGGCTTATTCTTTTTGTAAGTATCCAATTTCGCTTACGCCTACGTACGTAGGTACCTACGGCGCTATTTTCTCAAGTAAATTCTCAAATATATTTAACATACATATATCTGCTATATGTATATATCTGCAATCACACGCTGATTAATAAATTGCATCAACGTAATGAATAGTTTTTTTGTAGATGATAATGGAATTGTGTTCCTGCCTACGCTGGCGGAGTACCAGTGGAGCATGAGGTCAGGTCTTTTAGCCCATCGTGGCAACCACGTGGAGGTCAATCTGATATAGTAAATTGCTAGCAATGGGGTTATTAATCCACATTACCAACAATCCCTTTCACCCCTATTATCAGATGTTTAAACCTGTAGCACTGCGAGCTATGGAGATATAATGCAGGCAGACATATAGACTCAATTTATAATATTAGTATGGATTTTTCCCCCATTTGTAATATATAGTTACAATTTTTTTTTCTCTCTTCTTATCTGCAATCAGTCCCAGAACTATGAGCAGATTTTTTGGGTGTGGGATCTAAGAATGGAGTGTCCACCCCAGCGGGAGAATCTACTCCTTAAGCATGTTACAATTTTTAAAAAATATTCTTTAATGTTTTGTTTCAAGATCGATTTTTCATAATTTTTAATTGGTCATATTTTTTTCGTCTCAAGATGCAATAATTAGTTTGAAATATTTTAGTGTATAGGGATCTACCATCGTTTTGTATATAACTCAGGGGTCTCTAAACTATGGCCCATGAGCCAAATCCGCCTCACGCATTTTAACACTAGTGTCCGCTTAAATCTTCCATTTTGCGACTAGTCTTCAGAAATATTGTTAAGAGCAGAAATATTAAAACTCTTCTGGCACTAGAAACATACTGAAAAGTGAAATTATTTACTTAATATACATAGCTAATAATTAACATACTAAAACTTACCTGTATTTATACTGCCCGTCAGCATTATCTTCCATCTTACTCCTTCACGCCAGTGACTGCAGTTCCGGCTCCGCGCCCGAACACACGCGAACAACCCCAAACACACCCGCCGTTAAAATCACACCCCGAGCACACAAACGTCCCAAAATAACTCTCGTACGTCCAAAAGTCACGTTTAATGAGTTTGTATTCACTATTTGATATCCATTATTCTCGTGTGATTTACTATTTTCTATTTTCTTTTAGGTAGGATACTTAAAAAAGGCTTGTTTATGACATGGCTAGTTAATCCATTCATACATTTTATTTTATTTTATTTATATCTTAATCACTACAGATAAATAAAATAAAATTACATGTTTAATGTAGATATGTTTAATGCTTAATTTCCTTTTTAGCTATTAATAGTTTGAATTTACGTCTAATATCGTAATATTTTTTTACGTAATTGAAATGACAGACAAGCTGATGGTACACAGCTTCCTCACAGTAGAAAAATTGCATTTCAGAAAACTATAGTACCATACCTGTGGTCAGGAAGGGAAAAGTAATTTCAGCGATAGATAATAAATATTTTAAACATAGGCGAGGAAAAATGTCGGGACAATTGATACGACACGATGAAATTATTAAATATTATCGAAAGAAAAATAGAAGGAAGAAAAGGAAGGAGGCAAGGAAAGACCAAGATACAGTTATATCAAGCAGATCAAGGAAAAATAAAAGTCATGCCGTATTCTAATTAAAGATATTATGGGAAAATCGTGGGAAATTGCAAGAGCTCCGCAGACAAGAGCACGACTTAAATTACGAATACATTAATATAAGCCTTATAAAGACGCAGACTTACGGTCTTATTCATAAAAAAACTTATTGAAGGTTTATAGAGCTCATTAGTTAAAACATTCATTAGCGCTATTGAAGGTTTATAGAAGTGCGTTATTCATAAACCTATTATAAAGCCTCGCTAACTAATAGAGGTTTATAGGACTGTTTTTATCATTATGTTGCAATCTTGACGTTGGACTGTTTTACCATATACGCAGGTGACGTAATCAGTGTTGCTATTTTAGTTGCTTCACCACTAAATCTAGCAGAATTAACTCCTCCAGTATTGAACAAATTATGTAAATTAATACATTTTTATACATTTTCCTATTGAATATATATAAAATTGTATTTTATTATTGTAATTGTATTTCTATTTAATAAAGTTAAGGGAAGATAGAAGTATTTTTTCATAGTTTTTAAATATTACAATGATTTTTGGTTTAAATATGCATGTATTTTTAAAAATTTTTAATATAATGGTTTCAAGTAGTTTTATTAATTCATTAATATTGATTTAAATATTTTGTAAAACTCGAGGTTTCTTTGCTATATAGTGGATTCAATAAAACATCGTTGGCAACACTGGTTCTGTCAAAACGATTGTTTTATTTAAAATTGCATGTTATAATTTACGATTGTTTTAATATAGTTACAATTCGTTAGAATTAGAATTAACGGATTTATTACATATTACGGATTTTCATTGTCTAGTAAATTTTAAAATGGATAAACAAAAGAGAGCACGAAGCGAAAATTGGTTGGAAGACGACAAGGTAAGATTGTGTTTACTTATCAATATTTGTTATTTTTGTCCAGTTTTGGATCAAGTAAATTATTTTTTATGTACGACTTTGAATTTCACTTGTTTTAACTTTTTATTACATTCATTTAATGCATACCTTATTTTTGATAGAATTTATTGTTGGAATTGATCCGCGATCGTGTCGCCGTACTAGAGAATAAGAATACGGATACGAATACCAACAACTGTAAAAAGAAAGGATGGCTGGAAGTTATGGATAGGTTATTTATTATTTGTAGAAGCTAGCCCGTAGATTAGAGTAACTTGCATGCTTAGTATAATTTTATATGTGAATTGTTATTGCTCATGTACTTACACTTCAATATATTTTTCAGTTTTAATGCAATGTGCAAAGGTAGCAGACGTGACATTGCAACAAATAAAAACTCAGTGGGGAGTCATCAAAGTAAGTAAAAAGAAAAATTTAGCAGACCAGAGGCGATCTCTGAATAAAACTGGTGGAGGACCACCTACTGTGACTGTTCCAGTGGACAGTACAGACATATTGGCATGGTTACCGCAGGAGTTTTACGTGGACACCAATCTATATGACTCTGACGCTAAAACAGGAATTCCAGATGATCATGTAACCTATTTTTTATTTTTTCATTGCATATAATATAAAAAGTAAAGGTAGTAAGTGTAGGTTCATTAATCATTGTGTTCATATTTCAGATAAATGAAATAGATGTACCTGTTAGCGCTGTAAGTAATATATAATATGTAGTATCTATTATATCATGACATAAATGAACTCAGCATAATGTATATTATATAACATATATATATTATTTTTATAAAAGTACATGTTGTAATTAAAAGATTCCAGACAAACCTAGAGAACCAAAACTGAATGAAAAAGCACCGGAGATGCCAGAAATTATTTTGGAGATTGATGAAATTATTGAAAATGTAAGTAATATAGAACTTTTAAATATATTTTTGTGTGCTAAATGACTGGGACCAAAGATTATAAAGAGATGTTTGATATGATTGATTAAATTGGTTGGTATAATATGGTGTTTAATATACATAAATTTTGTTATTTCTTTTGTAGTCTCAAAGTGGCAGCACAAAAGAATATATTTCAAATGAAGGAAAGAAATGTAATGTTCGGGTTGTACCGAAACTATAAAGATTCTGATAGGTAAAACTGATAAATGATACTGATAGAAACTTGATTAAAACTGTATATTGAAACTTAAAATATAACTGATTAATGAATGTAATGAGTACGCGCGGCGTCCTTGATGACCGAATGCGAACTGATTTTAATGAAATGTGAAATGTAAAATAAAATGTTAATGTTGCGAAATAATGTACGATGCTAGCTCGTACATATTCCCGGGCGCGAAAGAAGATGTGAATGGGGATGCTGTGGTTGTGACCTTAATTACTACTTACAAGATGATGTACAATTGTTTCTTACAGATAGCATGCTAATGATTTTGTTAGTAAGTCGAATGATTTAACAAGATGATATAATACAATACACGAAGGCTTATTCTACACACACACGCGTTAGGGATGACGTACACTGATCTTAGCACAGACGATGTGCTTCTGTTTTGCTCTAAGACACGCGCACTTTCTCTCGTATTCACTGATATCACGGGCACTACACTTATTTTCTACACAGACACACACACTAACACTAACACTAACACTGATCGATGGCGGGGGAGCGCCCGGCTCCACCGCCGCTGGCACCATAGGCGCCCGCTTGCAGCGCCACCATCCAAGAACTGGAAATCCGGTCACTATCATAGCAACTGAAGCCATCCTAATTTAATTACTAAATTGAGGACGAAAATGTGGTGAAGTTGCTTTATTTTCCACGCACAATTTAGGACGTCCAAATGTCTTTTTGACAGTTTGATAGACTACACTGTCACATTCACTAACACTATCATTGTTTGCTGTTTCCATCGCACGGGGTTGGGGCGCGGGAGAGCTGGCCATGCCAACCGCCACAGTCGGCGATGCTGTGCTCGTCGAAGGGACCTTCCAATTGCGTAATCGACGCAATGTATAGATTACGCCGACTAACACCATCACGGCGATAATTATATAAATTAAAGTATAGTGATGTACGTCATGATAAGTTATGTGATCTGATAGTACGGGTTCGTTCTCTTTCATGAACTTAATTCTTTCTCCAATTTCTGTGAGTTGCTGACTTTCCGAATTCGATATGTCATTCCACTCGTGATGAGGAATATATATGTTAATGATGTGGTTTATCGGTGCGACTGTGGGTGAGTATATATCTGGTGATATCTTTAATTTATTTGAATGCTGATAATGTGATGTAACAGTGAAATTATCGGTTTTGATGATGCATCCACTGTCTATAGTGCTCAATCCCGCATAAGTGAGCATATGTACGGTAACCTGATCTCCACACATTGCTCGTACTTGACACTGATTGCAACAAAAATAAATATAATTATTAAGTTCATTGCTTTCTTCCCACATATTTTCGCATTTGCTAGTGATCGTTTTGCAAGTGGAATTTTCTGATTCACAAAATTCTTGATTTGTATTAATTTGATATATAGGTTTTTTAATATAACATAAATGTGCATCTACAATAAGGCATGATTTTATATCGAATTCCGACATTGTGATATATGTATCTTTCTTCAAATTTATAGCTATGTATTTTGAGATGGGTATAATTCTGATCATTTTGTTTCCTGTAACTTTCGGTATTGAGAATAAACTGAAAATCTCGAATGAATCTCTGCTAATTAGCGGTAGTCTTATTTCAAATATGAGGTATGATTGTAACATTCTTGCTTTAACTTTAAGTAATTTATATATTTGAGTGAGGTCAGTATGTATGCTTTCTGTTGGTAATATGACGTCATTAGACAAATGACTCGCTATAATGCTTAGTTCTTTCTGTAATTGTTCTGGTTGTAGAATATGAGGGTTAAATCGGCCATGATAGAGATCTGTCACTGTATCTAAGATAGTACCTTGTAAGGTTTTCATATTGCTGAGTAAGTTGCTTGCAATGACTGATGCTAAGGTAAACTGATTTACTATGAAATTATCTTGTGTCTCACTTTTTATGGTACTAATTTCGCGTTCTAAACTTATAATATGTTGATTTATCATTTTATGTTGCTGAGTCATAGTATTTTCTGTTCGCTTTAAGATGTTATACTCAGCCTCCATGATCGATGTTTGATTTTTCCAGAATGATGTTAATTTTTTCTGATTGTCTCGTAGTAAAGTAATGTCCATCTCATACTTTTCGGCGAATCTTTGATCCAATACTCCGAATAGGGAACTGGCGATGTAACCGACACCGTCGATAAGACCGCGGCGACGCCGCCTTGCGGATTGCACCTGCTCGTTATAATGCTGACTGAGCAACATATGATTGTAGTAATCGAGTTCATTGGACCCGTGACGTAACTGTAGTAGTAATGTGTCGCAGTGAATTTGATATCGTATTGTTTTGCATGTTTCTTCCAGC